TTTTCTCGATGCACGTACCCTAGTGGGGTTCCTTCAAGCCCTGGAGCACGGCACGATACCAGACACGTTACAAGGTTTAGTTTGGCTCTGCCGCCACAGCAACGCCCTGTCAGTCGTCACAGCATCTCACCTTATACAGGGAACAGGCTGGACAGGTATTCTGCTGTATACGTTAGTATAAGGGTTAGCGTTCACATATTCTTCAAGGTAACGTAGATTTCTAGGAGGCAGGTGTTCAGTTTTTTCCGTGTAAGAGGTGATCCACCAATCCTATTCCTTGCAGCATTCATAACTCAAGCATATGTTGTGCATCTCGAAAACTCGTTTGAACTTGTTCATATTTCCTTCGTCGCTTTATACATCTTGTCCTTCCCAGGAGATCCTTACACAATATTGTACAATAAAAACCAAATATCCAACAATGCTGCGCTTTTGAGAAATCATGAGTGAAGAGCGGAGACCAACCCAATATCGTGTACATAAATCATCGCTGGGAAAGGCATAAGACTAAAGTCATTACATCGGAATGGGGGTATAAGAAGAAGAAAACAGACGGCTAGGCTTCAGCTGTTTAAAAGCCCATTCCGCCCATGCCTCCCATACCACCCATACCGCCAGGCATGCCGCCTGGAGGTCCAGACTTCTCCTCGGGTGCCTCGACAATGGCGACCTCGGTAGTTCCGAGGAGCGAGGCAACACCGCTGGCGTCAACGAGAGCAGTGCGAACAACCTTGAAGGGGTCAAGGATACCGGCAGCGATCATGTCGACGTACTCGCCCTTGGCGCTGTTGAAACCCTTGTTGAAGTCACCCTTGTACTCGTCGATGAGCTTGCCAACGATGACGGAGCCCTCGGCGCCAGCGTTCTCGACGATCTTGCGGGCGGGGTGGGTGATGGCGTTCTTGACAATGGTGATACCGAGCTGCTGGTCGAAGTTGGCAGCCTTGACGTTACCGAGAGCGTTGGCGGAGGCCTTGAGGAGGCCAGTACCACCACCGGGCAGGATACCCTCCTCAACGGCGGCGCGGGTAGCGTTCAGAGCGTCGACGATGCGGTCCTTCTTCTCACCGACCTCAACCTCGGAGGAGCCACCGACCTTGATGACGGCAACACCACCAGAGAGCTTGGCCAGACGCTCCTGGAGCTTCTCCTTCTCGTACTCGGAAGTGGTAGCGTCGTTGATGACGCCACGGATCTGCTCACAGCGCTGGGAAACCTGGTCCTTGCTACCCTCGCCGTTCAGGATAACAGTGTCCTCCTTGGTGATGGTAATGGATCCGGTGGAACCGAGCATATCGGGGGTGGCCTTCTCGAGCTTGATGTCGAGGTCGTCGCTGAAGACGGTACCGTTGGTCAGGACAGCGAGATCGCCAAGGATGGACTTGCGGTTGTCACCGAAGCCGGGAGCCTTGACAGCGGCAACCTGGAGCTGACCACGGAGCTTGTTGAGAATGCAGACGGCAAGCGCCTCGCCGTCAATGTCCTCAGCAATGATGACAAGAGGACGGCGGAGCTGCTGGGAAGCCTCGAGAGCGGGGACGATGTCCTGGACAGCGGAGATCTTCTTCTCGGAGAGGAGGATGAGAGGCTTCTCAAACTCAACCTTGGCAGTCTTGGTGTCGGTGATGAAGTAGGGGGAGATGTATCCGCGATCGAACTTCATACCCTCGGTAACCTCAAGCTCGTCCTCAGTGGTCTTGCCCTCCTTGACGGTGATGACACCCTCCTTTCCGACCTTCTCCATAGCGTTGGACAGAAGCTTGCCAATGTGTGTGTCACCGTTGGCGGAGATGGTGGCAACCTGCGCAATCTCCTCGCTCGTGGTGATGTCCCGCTTGTTCGCCCTGAGGTACTCAACGACGGCCTCGACAGCGGCCTGAGTACCCCGCCTCAGGTCCATGGGGTTGCATCCGGCGGCAACGTTCTTAACGGTCTCGGAGAAGATGGCGCGGGCAAGGACGGTGGCAGTGGTGGTACCGTCACCAGCAGCCTCGTTGGTCTTGGAAGCGACGTCCTGGAGCAGGCGGGCTCCGAGGTTCTCGAACTTGTCTTGGAGGGAAATAGCCTTTGCGACTGTCACACCATCTGGAATGATGTCAGCGGGCAATGTCAAGGATGGCGGCGGAACTCGTGCATACCCTTGGTGATCTTGGGCGAGCCGTAGCTCGACTCGATCAATACATTGCGACCCTTGGGACCCAGTGTTGTTGATACGGCCTTTGCAAGTGTGTCGACACCCTTCAGCAGTCCTGCTCGTGCCTCGACGCCGAACTTCAGTTCCTACTAACTGTTAGTGTTGCGTCTTTTTTCATGAAATAGAGATGCAATTGCCGTACCTTATGCGCAAACCTCTGCTGCTGGAGGTTGTAGCTGGTGGACCGGAGCTTAGAGCTCGAGTTGAGGGCCGAAGTCCGCGCCCGCGATGCGAAAGCTCTTTGCATTGTGACGGAATTGGGATGTGTAGGTAGAGAAAAAGGAATCTCAAATGTTGCTCCTAGACTCCAGCTTTATGCAAGATAACCAGGAATAGTGTGGATGTAGAGGAGGATGCGGAGAAGAGTGGTCGCAGATGTTCGATGCCTCTAAAAATTTGGGTCGCTCGACGATTGGAATCATCGAGAAGGCGCTATGACCACATCCGCGAGCTAGCCTCGGCTTTCGATCCATAACTCCATCGCCAGCCTCACGTTTCACGTTTGTCAGTTTGTCAGCGCCTGAGATTTCTACTAGAGCGCAGGTACACGAAGGTTTTGCGTGGAACTCAATCATCGGGGATGAGCGTTGTGTGCATTGATCCTACCACAACCGATCCCTCTGGGTTAGCTAGGTGCCTACGCCTTCTGGCTGACCATCAACATATCACCATCGATGCGCTTGAGGCCAACACCGAACATTGAAAATATTTCCCGCCGCTCGGCACTAAGGCTCACCGCCCCATACACCTTCTGGACCACTTCGATACATCTCCAAACGTGCAGGTGCTCTTCGTCAAGCTGCCAGATTGTTCCTCTCGGTCCACTGCTCAACTCTTTCAGCATCTTCGTATTCCTAGCTTGCTCAATTTCCGTCTTCGCTGTCGGAGCTTCATCTTCAAGCGCTCTCTCTTTTGCGGCCTTGATCTCTTTTCGACTCTTCCCTTCTTTCGATATCGGTAAAGCAAGGCCCTTCTCTGCGTAGGCGGCCGTGGCTTGGGCCTTCACCGGGCTCTTCCAGAACTCGACTTGAGGACTGTTGTTTTCGTGTAGCAAGTGGTAGTATATTGGCTCCTCACTTTCGTCGCTCAACAAGTGTAGAGGCTTGGATACCGATGCATTAGCAGGAGGCCAGCGTGTGTCGCCGTATGGGCACTGATTCTTCTCTTCTGCCGTCAAGGTCTTCTGACTTGCAGTACCGCAGCTGCCCCCTCCACCTATACCAGATGCTGTAGGCGCAAGTCGAGTTGGATCCATATGTTGTGGGACCCGCGCACGTCTAGGCGTGAAAGCTGGCTCGGGCGCAGGTAGTTACTGCCGTTGTAAACGGTCTTCGCGAAGTTGCGAGCTTGCTGTTGACTAGGTTTCGGAGCTGGGTGGTTCTCTCGCCCGTAATTCTCGAGTGGATCTCCCCGTCGTATATTCCGTGGCGTAATTACCCTCTGAAAGTTCACGAAAGCGTGCAGATAGGTAATTTGTTGCCACTCTTCGCCTGGTCGTTCGCGCCAGCGCACGCCACACGACCGCCAGGTATGTTGTCCTGCAACTGTGAATGACCAGTGTGTCCAGACTGCATGATGAGGCTTTAACGCATCAAAGCCGATGCGTGAAGATAGTTTGCCCTGTTGTGTCGGGCTGTGACGAACGCGTACATCACATGGCTGAAATACCAGGCCAATGGCGTGACTGTGCGACACTCCGTCCATTAGGCGACAGAGCGCCTCCAGATAGCAGGGAAACAGCTGAGTACATTGCAATGGTTGCGCGAAAATACTGACGTGTAAGCCCCCAAGTGGTATGTCACTTCTCGAATTCCTCTCTCCGGTGGCAGTGTTGTTTTTACTGTCCAGTTAGAACCAGCCCAGAAGTCAGTCACAGTCTTAGAACCTTTGCACTGCCCACGCCCACGCCCAAGTGCGGGGCATGGCTGACCGCAGCACGGCCGGCGGCGACTTTTCGTTCATTATGCACAAGACCTACAACACATTCGCTTTCGAGCTGTATTAGTATTCTCGAGGCACTCTTAGAAGGCTCCAAAGCCATGTATCGCCGACCCACCAATCCAGCGTTGGAGCGCGCAAGAAAAAACCTGCTAAGGCCATCACTGCCATCTGACAGGAAAGAAGGACAAATTTTAGATCGATTCTCAGCTTATGACTATCCGTGGGAGAAGATTGAAGAATATCTTAGAGGAAAGTGGCCAGCCTGGGACTTCAACCCAAGAAAAGTACGCGTCCTCTGCTTTTTGCGATAGTAATCCGTACTAATGAGTAACAAGTCTAATGACACTTGGATCTTTGAAGTACCAGAAAAACTGAATGAGGTACGTTTGTGCCCTTCTTAATCGCAGTACGCACAGAACTCATATCGCGTAGAGCGATCGCAGAGAGTTAAGGAATCGACGCGACGCACCGAAAAGAACACAGCAACCGTCTGTGTCTCCGGAACCAGAGCTCACAGAGACATCTGAGTCTTCTTGAAGTTCATGGGCCTTGCGTCTAGGTATGGATACGTGGAGTCTGGGCTTGCGAGTGCCACCCGGGCATTGTATGGACAGATGCCCATCAGCGGGATCACCAGTTCCGGTGGGCGCGTTGGACTGTAGTGGGCACCACTGCCGGGGGCTCAACATCTTTTGTGGCTTCGCATGCGCATGCATGCCTCACCTAAGCCCACCAAGGCTGCATATGATAAGCCAGCTGAAGAAATGAAATGTCCGCCTGCCCCTCTTCGGCCTTGCACTCATTTTCTTTCGACAGTGCACCCAAAATAATTTGGTTATTGCAACTGCAATTCGCGTCGCAAAGTATGCGCATGAACGAAATGCTTCCACTCGCACTGCAGACGTCTTATATCAGTCGTGCGCAATATCCAGTGAATCTGATCTCCAGCGAGACTACGACGTACAAAGACAAGCTACAATCCTACAGGAAACGTCTAGACGATGCTGAAGCAGATCTGTGCTTGGTAGACGAGGAAGACGAAGTGGACACAATCTTCGAGGTGCCCATAATTGACATGTCTACTGATGACGGCCAAGGTACTTTAGTAGCTACAACACTACTGTTCATACTCTGACCTTCACAGTCAGGCAGAAACGAAACATCCACACTCCTTCAAAGCTCACTGAGTGGCTGGGTGTAACAGCCACCGAAGTTCTCAACAAGCCGAATGTGCAACACGTTCGTGCCGCGAAACGAGACCCGAAATGCCGCTTCATGTAAACAATGCACCTGCGCATGTGGGTCTTGATGTCGGATGTACTGACGGCATACAGATACGTCTATGGCGAGAACTCCCGTGATAAACTGAAGATCACTCGCGCCAGTTTAGTACAGATCTTGACGTACCATCAGGTGATGCCTGTGTATTTGGATTTCATGCTCATTTTCGGCGCCCAGATCAACGCAAAAGACCCTAGGTTCTTCGGGTTTCGCGAACAGATACGGTTGAAGAACCCCCGAAACGATCACATTGCCCCAAAACTAGGGCGAAGCGGGAAGATGTTTCAACTCTGCTTCAATCTCAAAGGTGTTGGTCTATTGACAAACAATAGCGGCGATGACGCAGATCCCAGTGACGGGTCTATCCGAACCGTATCAATATACCATCGGTTCGACGTAGAGCATGGAACGACTCTTTGGATCGTGACCAAAGGTGGTCGAGATTTGTTGGATCGATACAAAGAGATTACGGCCCCAGATGCGCCGGAAGATGCCAGGTGCTTTTCTGATGCCGCGGCATGCTTTCGCGCAAGTCTCTCTGTTCATCTGATGTTCTGTCACTGGTCGACAGAAGATTGGCGAGGTTACATAAGCTGGCTCGAAGATCACTTGGACTACCGGGTAAGCCCACTATGCCTTGGCGCAGTCGTGTGCTGATGAACCATGACATAGAGCGATCTGGCATACCACTATAGCCAAGTGGAGTCAACTTACGAGCTAGGTGGCATTGCAGATCTGCAATACTGGCGGGATAACGCCAACCAAGCGGTTCTTTTACTTAATGCCAACATCGAGATTCTCAACTCACTGCGCAAGTTCTACGTCAACCTCACAAATCGAGCGGACTTTCCAACATCACTGAAGACTGACTGTGAGCATGACCTGGACGTGTTTCTGTCACAGCTCGACGAAATCATGAAAGATCTCCAGAGGCAACTGGAAAGAGCGAGACTGATCATCAACATCGTCAACGACAGAAAGGAATTGGTACTGCAACATTTGCAGGCGCAGACCGAGCAGCTCAACAGAAATATGGGAAGAGAGGCCGCTGTAATGCGCATCATTACCATCGTGACCCTACTATACCTCCCGTCAACGTTTGTTTCAGTGAGTCACTCTGTCTACCGATCATTACCTATATCTAACATGTGATAGACATTCTTCAGCAGTGACGTAGTAAAGTATCAAAATCGAGATGCGAACGGCGCGGGTGACTATACGGAGAGCTTTTCCTCACTGGCTCTCAAGAGGTGGCTTCAAGTCACGCTGCCACTGACAGCGTTTACTTTGTTCTGCGCGTGGTTATCTATCAGATTCTACGATCATTCGCCCGGCGATCCTTCTATCGCGGAGCCTTGGTATAATGCGCTCGAATGGATTAAGTTTTCCATGGCCATCTTTTACACCCAGGCACAGGAGAGTCTTCAAGAAGTACCTCGATGGAGACTGTCTGTACAGTTAGCGGCAGTGTTTACCTCTATCCGTATTCGTGTAGCATCACTGTGGACCAGAGACGTCCAAGGTACGGTGCTGGGAGTCGAGAAGACCGATTCGCCGCAAGCCGCAGGCTTGCCACGTTTTCGTGATATGAGCAATACCGTTGCCTAGAGGAGATAACAACGCATTTCGGAATAAGGGCGTCTTGCTGCAACAGAGAGTACTTTGCGAGAATGTTGGCTTTGACCCATAGTCGCGTATTTGTTGTTACGATGTCAGAGTTCCGACATGAGCTTGGTGTTGATGGTACCTAAATACTACCTCCTCCCTGTATTTTCGACACTTGAGCTTTGCACTATATGCAACCTGCTTTCGTTAAATATTTATCTCTGCGCGGTGACCGCACTGTATCTCTGTCGGAATGTAAAGCACACTGCGCTTGTGCTTTATGGTACTGCGACAAAGCTTGTTCGCCCCTAGAGGATGGGACGATTCGAGTGATGGAGACTTACGTGATGAGCTGATGAGTGGTCAAGAGTGGCCCATTCTGACCGCGTCAATTCAGCTATCAGTCGCTTTATTGTTCTCTCTGGAATTGTGAAGGGGAAGGTGAACTGGAGCTTGCGCCACGAGAGTTTTTCAGCCTTGCCGTGAAAAGTGAGCTCACAGTGTTGCTTGATCTAATTGGCGCATGGTGAGATGCACCTGCCTTGGCTGTGTCAGTGCCCCGCTTTCAGCCTACGCACATAAGAGCTGTCAGCATAGCGCCCTTAAGATGTCGCCGCAGGAAGAACACCTCTAAATTTCACTTTCCTCTCGATATACGTGCGCTCTTATGTTACAATTTTTGTTATGCTTCCTACATGGCTGACACCTGATGATGCGCAATACATTTGGGCCTAGCGATCATGAGGAACCAGCGTTCGACATCGGCAACTTCACCATGTCTGCGCTTTCCGCGGAACGTCGCTCATCGATCTTAACGGACTTCCTGGGTCTCCTGAAAAGTCGTTGGACCTTCCAGGTCGCATGTCAAAACGGATGCGCCCCGGATGACGCTTGCGACTGCATACGTCGTGTCATTCATGTCAGTGCTGTCATAGCGTGGTGGAAGTCGATGACGCCCGATCTCGCGAAACAGAACAGACTGTGGCTTCTTCTCGACGACTCTAAACTCATTCAGCCACATTCATCAGATCTTAAGGAAAGTCGGTCTTCAGGGAATTATGCCCACATCCTGGTCTTCAGTATGTTACTGGAGCAAGGCCGTGGCCATCTTTTAGGACGATTTGTCGACTCGGACATAGAGGATAGCAGCTTGGCAAATATGACAGAGGGCAGTGAACAGAGGTTACGAAAACTTCTAGCCGAATCGCATAGTAGCATTCAAGTGGATCAAGTCATGGATGACTTTCACAGGGCGAGATGGGCATACTGTCCGTTGAGCCTGACACTCCACATGGACCAAAGCTTGCAGGGATCGAAGATCATTCCACCTTTCTGCCACAAGATTCGACTTGGAAATGCTGGTGGTACTGCGTCACTCTATTGGATTGCTGTTCAACGAGACCTTATCTCCGACAATGCGCTTGCGTTCGCACTACGTGATTCGCTTTATATTGACGAAACATATGGCGAGGTGAGATCATGAACCACGCCATGGAGTGAATACGCTGACAACTCTCAAGTGTTATCAAATGGCTCTCAAATCCTATAGCGGAAAAAGGAAGCCTGAGTTTGAGATGGAGAGGGCAGCATTCTTGAGTCTGCGATCGAGCGACGACATTCCTATACTGCAGTACTTGGGCTCATACACCCATGACTACGGAGAGGGAATGAGATCGGGGAGAACGTACAACCTGTTGTTGGAGTATGGTGAAAGCGACTTGTATCAAGCATGGGCAGACGAGACCAACGTCCCTCCTGTGCAAGCCCAAGAGATCCTCCGGTACTGGAAGTCACTATTCATGATCGCAAAAGCCATTCGCCATGTTCATCACCTCGAAATCCCGCGAGACAAAGGAGATTCTTGGAAATTCCACGGGTATTCATCACTCAATGTTCATTGATCTTTGTACTAACTTAAACAAGGTGGCACGCAGATATCAAACCAGACAATATTCTCAGCGTTCGCGGACGACTGAAGCTGGCTGACTTTGGCTTTTCCAGCTTTGCGCCTGTAGTTGATAGCTACGAATACTCTGAACCGAAAGAGGTTTTGAAAGGGTTTACTGATACTTATGGTAAGCTGCCAGAGTGGTAAGAATGAACGTAGCAAAGCTAACCTTCCGCAGGCGCACCTGAACTATCCCGCATGAATGAACCGGACGGCACAATGATTGGTGTCTCGCAAACTATTGACGCCTGGTCGTTCGGTTGTGTTCTATCGGTAGCTGCGACGTGGATCGTTTTGGGGTTTTCAGGTATCCTTCAGTATGAACGCCTTCGACAACTGTCCCCCGCGAATCAAAAGAGAGGCCAAAGATTGGACCGATTCCACGATGGATACCAGGTTCTACCGGAGGTGGGGAAATGGCACGACTATCTGCGTGGGCATCTTCGTCCATCAGATACGACGACGGAGCAAGTCCTGAATTTGATAGAGATCAAGCTGTTACGAGCAGAACCCGTGGCACGGCACACTCTGGAGGAGCTCTGCGAAAAGCTTCAAGAGTTGAGTGATTGGGCGCACTACAAGATCAAAGGTCTCAGGAAGTACTCGCGGGATATAGATCCTCTAGTCATGAGAGCCCTATCGAGCATAGAAAAGGAAGCTCATGTCCAGAGAGTTTCTGACCGATTTCTAACCCGATCACAACAATCCTTTGCATCTACAAACCCTCAGCAGCGGGCATCGATGCGGACAAATATGGGAAGTATGATCAGGAACAAACCTCTCGGTCATACGGCGTATCGCAAACAAATTCTGGAGGAGGAACTCGAATCATGCTATGGCGAAGAGGTGGACAAAGCGCCGCTGCTCGCGGATGGAAGATATAACGGCGGCCTCACAGAAAGTCCTACTGATGCGACACTTTCAAACGACCTGCCATTTGTTGGTCGCAGGAGTAAGCCCGAAAATCCGCAGTCACGAGCACATGAACAAGAATGGTCAGACGCAGACATTCGGACACTGAGTGGTGCACGTCTATTCCTGGAAAGTGATCGCCCTGCGACACCACCACCATCCTCCGACCGCCACATCAAAGTCTCTGGTCCCGACACTGGGCCCTATAGCGATGATGTCTTCACAACACAACCAAATGGCAGTCCATTCGATATCGGTACATCTGCCGGAGACCACCCGGCAAGACTCAACCTGCAAATCCCAGAAGCAGACTCGCCATCTGCAAAGTATCACAAGAATCTTGCACAGCCAAACCACACTGCGGAATTGATGTCTCCGCCTACAGATAGGTCTTACGCGATACAAAACTCTGACATCACGGCTGAGAAAGAGACGTTTGCAACAGAGTCTCCTGCGCTCACACCCGTTCGAATCATCATCGGAAGTGACTCCAAAGACAACAATGATACTTTAGGAGTGAAGAGCCATAACAGAGATGTATCGATCGTGGATGTTACAAATCCCAAAAGCTCTTCGTCTGAAGACAAGCGTGTGTACGAGTTGAGCATCGAGAGGCCGAGCATGCATGAGGCTGTGGAGAATTTTGAGCCTCCGCTGTTAGCAACACAGCATCAGGATATCCAGTCTCGACAGTACCAGATAGCGAAACCCAGCTCGAATACTCATGTCCATGAGATGCAAGCTCTGCGTACCCAGGCATCGTCGGTATCTCACGATAGTTCACCGCTACCACTTCCGCGATCTGCCCTAGAGTTGCCGTATGACATTTGCCTGGCAAGAAAGGATATGGAACAGCAGGTCCCCAAGGGGTTTGCGAGAAGATTCGCGAAAGTGAAGGGTAATCTTGGCATGGAAACTAGAGGACGCGATGTTGGCCTTGTAGAGACCTTTAGTGACCCGCGCGACCTCGTAAGTTCAATTCAGTTCTTCTATATAATCAGCTAACATGTTGCAGGTATTTGTCATCGATAATGGATGGACAATGTCTAAACATTGGCCGATCGTGGCGTTCGTTGCAGAAACGCTCGCCAAGAAGGTAGCTGGTCTTGACAAAAGTGGCATCGATATCAGATTCACGGTTGATGGCGACATACATAGAAAGCAGCGTTTGAAGGGAGACTCGGGCCGAAGAACGCTGAAGAAGGCGCTCAAAGCAGCGTGGCCGGAGTACAAGCCTAACGCTCACGCCACTTCAGACATGGCGAAGACTTTCACAGATGTTTTCCACGAGTGGCGCCATATTGGCCAGCCAGCCACAACACTTCTCGTCTTGACCGATGGCGTGTGGTCAAAGACAGATCTCAATACCCTCAACACGACCATACTCGACATCGCTCAACGAGACCAACGAAATGCTGGCAAGCGGTACTTTAGCATCCAATTCATCCGATTCGGGGATGCTGTTGCCGAAAAAGCTCGTTTGCAGTGGCTAGAAGACCATTTGTGCGCAGATCATAAACTAAGGGACATCATCGACCACTGCTCGTGGCGCAGTACAGTCGATAAGATATTGATGGGAAGCATCGAGGGTTATTGGGATCAAAAAGAGCCCGAAGAGCCGCCCGTCTTGTATGATTACGATGACCTGGTTGATCTGTTCAATGCGTTCAATCGAGGATACGACGGGAAATCTGAACATCTCAGTAGACTATCCCAAACGCCATTACGAGGGTCGATTCGGTCATCTGTCTCCACGTCGCGTGCAGATAGCTGGACGGAACGGCGTTAACAGACAGACATCTTTTACCTGGATCGAATCATAGGCCAACTGCTTAACATACCTGAGCTGAAGAGTGGGTTAAGCGTTGGATTTCCTGCTTCCGGCGCGCGGCGCATAGAATTTAGCATCATGCTCCTCTCCTATGCGAGGCTGCGACTCAATGAGTCTATGAAAATTGTGAGTTTGGAATTCTGGCGAGACCGCGCATCTGTGCAACGCGAATAGCACTAGAGCAATGTCGCAAGAATACGTATCATGTAATGCATCACAGATCTGTCTTATACCGCATGCACTTTGGATGGATGGCGTGGGCTTCTCCCTCGATCGACAGGACGGGGAGGAAGCTTCGTTCATAACATTTTATCAATGGCTGATGAAGGACAGACAACCTGTCAGCTATCACCAGCTTATTCATGGAACACTCGTGCACAAGCGGACCTCGTAGCGAATATGTGGCCATCTAATGGCAAGCTTGATCATATACACGGTAATCGTACAATTCGATATTGAGGTCCATTCATACAGTAGGTGCAATACCGCCATCATCGAGCGAAGACCTCACCGATGCACGTATCTAAAGCCAATCCTCTTCCTCAGCGCCGCACGCTCCGACAGCTGCTCCGCAACAAAGCGAACACTAGGCTTCTCGATCTTCCTGGCGCCCTCCCTCAAATATCTGCTGTGTCTCGAAGCCGTGCGAACAGGGTCTGGGGTGTACGGTGTCGCATCGAACCTGCGAACCAGCGGTATAGGCTTGACGTGAATCTCCTTCGGGGCACGCCGACGAGCGCGTCGTATAATTTCCCTCGAACGTATCGATATCGTCGGTTTCACTGGCTTGTACGAGTCGACGACGCGAGCAGACGGTGCTTTGCTGGGAGGGAGGGAAATGAAGTTGTAGGCCGTGGTGTTGGAGGCGCGCTTGCGACGGGACGCTCGGCTTGTTGTTTGTGCGGTCGGTGAGTTTACTTCTCTAGATGATGGTTGAGAAGTAGTTTCACTGGGATCAGATTTGTTTGGAGTCTCACCTTGGGGTTGAGATACAGGCTCAGAGCTTGTAGGAGGCTCTGCAGGTACGGGCGAGTCTTGGGGTGGCCGCTTGTTCTCTGATGCGACGTGATCTTGATCGCTGCCTTGCGCTTTTGGCGTTTTCTTGGCGGCAGCATTGAGTGCTGTAATATCTGGCCTCCTAGAGCCGGGTCCCAGCGGTTTTGGCTTAGGATTCTTTACTGTGGTGTAAACAGTGCCCTTGACAGCAACACCTCCAGTCGGCCCCTCAATCCATACATCGTATATACTGCCATGTTGCAATTTCTTCTTCTCCAAGCCGCATATGCGCATCTCTTCATCGCAGTACAGCGGCGCTAGATTGCGATATTCGATCGACTCCAGATCATGCTTTCCCCCGGTCTGTGCATACACGTAATGGCTTATGGTTTTCAACATGAGGAGCAGGGAAAGAGGACCGTGAACTAGCAGGTTGCGGTGGCCTTCGACGTTACGAGCGTACTCGGGATCGAGGTGTATGCGATGGGCGTTGAAGGTGAGAGCAGAGAAGCGGAAAAGAAGGGCGCGATCGGGAGTGAGGGCGTGTGAGAAGTCTGGCTTCCCAGGGGCTACATAGAGTCAGTAGATAGTCGAGAGGGTTGTCAGAGTACGCACGCTGCAGATACTTCACGGCGGCCATCTGCCCGGCCTTGACTGCCTCCAATTCGGCAGCGGGGCGCTCCTTGAAAAAGACCAGGTTACGCTCCTCCTTCACGATTGAGTCGCCCCAATCGTCGCCGTCTCGCAACTGCTGCTCGAGATAAGTCTTTAGTTTTTTACCTCCATTCTTTCCCAGTTTGCCATGCTTCGCGTTGTACGCTCTCCCTACGATGTCCACCCGTGCAAAACGCCGCTCGATCGTGACAAAAATCTTGGCAGTGTCGCCTTCTCCGTGCAGTCGGACATGCTTTATGTGCTCCGTCCCAGACATGGGAAATTCGACTCTAAAGCCGCGGTTACGGTCATAATACTCGTCGGGTCGTACTTGTATCGAGCCGCCAGCCCACATACGCCGCACCCACGGCCCGCCCGGGCTCTGCGACGCGTCTGTTCCATCTGGGAGTAATTCGGTTGTCGGCACCGCGGGATTGAACCAGATCAAGTGATGGCCAAACGGCACCATGCGACTACGCACACCGGGGGCATAGCACCATTCTTGAGGTAAGAAACCCGTGATGCTTTGCGATAGCTTGAATTCGTGCGGAGTGGCGATGAACTCAGGAAGGTGTATGACGTCTCGCTGCAACATTTCGGTGCGCAGCTCTTGGAACCATGGCGGGTCCACCGAATTGGCTGAAGAATAGCATCGCAGCGGTATCCTTCGCCATTGCGTGCGATTCGCGTTGTCCCAGGCAATTCGACGTGCGCGCGGGGTCCGAAGCAGCATTGGGAAGAAGGTCTGCGGACATCGCAAGACCCGCCGCAGATGCTATCCTAGAAGTCTTGGCGGCTTCATGACGTAGGCGACTTGACCGTTTGAATGCCCATCACTTGTACGTAGCTTGACACTTCACCTATGACAACCATTGCTAACCTCCGACATGTGCCAATCTTCATATACTACGCGCTTGAAAAGCTGTGAAGATTCAGCAGTCATGCCAATCCAACCGCCAATGTCATGCGCGGCTGACCGCCTCGCTGCGACCCACTCGTTAGCCACCCCATCTTCACACCAATATACCATGGACGTAGCTTGCATTGAACTCGCATCCTAAGTTCAAGCTTGCAACTGATATCGCGTCACGCGTCTTGGCGTGTTTGTTTGTGTTCCTCATTCGGCTATCCACGAGCGTCGCACCTTCTTCACGTCCACCCCAGCTTCATCTTCACCGCCAACGCCATCGTTTCCTTGCAAACAACGGCTTTACCTCATAAGCGAGCCTCCAGTATGTGTGCAGTTTACCAAACTCGTGGGTTGCTGCTTCGTCTGCGTCTGAACCGCGTTCGTCATGCTAAGCCACGGAAGCCCACAGCGACTGCCACAACATAGTCAGCCGTATACGCACGAGGTGACGGTTTCAATACACGTGAACAACGAGTCACCCCAAATTGTCACTCATCACACATCCCTGGGACAGGCAAGTGCTGGACGCCTTCACACGCAGGATATCACCTGCACAGCGATGACGAGCAAGATGGAGCTTCTGGAGTGTCCCATGTGTGACTTCACCGTGCTTCAGAAAGATGACTACATTCTCCAACTACACTTTGAGCAAGTGCATACCGAGAACTCTCCTTTCGTGATAGAAGACGACCCAGAACCGTTACCCCCTTCCTTGCCCCTCAGGCCTTCCTCACTCCGCCACGACACTGAGGATACACCTTCCTCCGACGACTCGGAAGAGGAGGAAAGCACTACAGTGTGCCCTGACCCCAACTGCGGTGAAGTCGTTCCTCTCTCCGACTTCAACGACCATCTCGAATACCACAACGCAGAAACTTTATCATTTGACGAGACTACAGGAAAGTATCATTCTCATCATTCATCCGCTACTATGCAAGGCTCGACCTCATCTCGTCGTTCCCATGCGAGTCAGGCAAGGACCACAACATCCGAGCGAAGTTTCAGCACAGACTTGTCAGATGCTTTGAAGAGGACTGATGGTCACGGCCGCAAATCGAAGAAGCACCCACATCGGCATCGGCGCGACACCGATGAGAGCGAGAAGAGTACCATCGGAAGGAGCATTCTAGGCTTCAATCCCTTTGCGAAACCCGATAAGTCCGTCAAGCCACCGATAAAAAGTGCTCGGCTAGGTGTAAGTTAATTGTCCTTTTAGCAGGGCCTAGCTAATCTCCGCAGAAATCCGAACTGGGACCCTACGCTTGGGAGAATCGAATGCCTAGGTGGCTGCACGATCAGCTAGATGCCGGCCCCAAGATCACTGCCGTCAACCGCATCGGCCGAGATGGCCGCCTCATCAAGCATGATCAGGTGCAGAACGAGACGCCAGGCATCATTCCCATCCTTGCGCAACTATCTGCTCTTGATCGGACCGTGAAGGAAGCATATTACTGTCATCCATCGACACTCCACGTCGGTAAAACCCCAAGCGAAGGCGGCTTTTGCGGTTATCGGAACATACAAATGCTGCTGTCCTACATCCAAGGGGCCAAGGCTCAAGGCTACGAAGAGTTCCCAGGACGGCTGCCGACTATCCTGAAGATGCAAGATCACATTGAAGATTCTTGGGATAAAGGTATCAACTCAATCGGCCGTGTCCAGACTGGTGGTATACGTGATACCAGAAAGTACATCGGCACACCAGAGGTAACATCTTACTCACCTTCAACTGTTCTCTGCTGATATGTAGCAGGCTCAAGCCTTTTTCCTCAACTCAGAAATCAACTGCGCTGTCGAGCAGTTCAGCGACAATAAAGATCGCGCCATTGCGGCTCACGAGCTTCTCCTCGCTGCCATGGAACGATATTTTGCGCGAGCGGCTGCCAGCGACGGATCCAATGTCTCCAAGACTCTTCTACCGCCTATCTACCTCCAGCAACCAGGACACTCGATCAGCATTGTCGGTTTTGAGCGCCGCTTTGACGGCTCATGCAATCTGGTCGTCTTCGATCCCATGTATCTCACGAGTCCTGCGATGCATAAGCTGCTTGGTCGGAAAAGCATCAGGACAGCTCGACCCGAGGTTCTGTACGCATATCGTCGCGGAGCTGGGAAGCTTAAGAAATACGCTGCTTACGAGATTCTGATGTATGTTCATTAGTCGATAAGCGCTTGTCGCATGCTGACTTTGCTCAGGCTCACTGCATCACCGCCTTTGTTTCCCGCTTGGGATGTATGAGCATCCGTCCTCAAGCCTGACCCTTGCATATAATAGCACAGTCCGTTTCTATGACATCTACTGAACGTTTCTCTTGTAGGTACTTCGTCAATTCCCCGAGTGCCGCTTCGTGTACGTCTTCTTCCGTGCACGCACCCTCGGATACGATGTATATCCTGAAGACTATTTCCTGCGAAACTTCCCGTGGCAGCAGTACGGCGGACTGTGGTCTTGTGACGATGCGCGGTTCGCCCGAGCGGAGCCGATGAACCCACTCACAGCTCTGGCTCTACGTCGTATCACCGGCGAAGGATCTTCGAGCTCCAGCAATACCAATAGTCCCACAAGTCCCACAAGCTTCTTCACAAACAGCTGTTTTCAGCACATGCCAGCAGACGAGCATGATCGACTTCCTTCATGGCTGGGCTCGCTCGATGGTTCGGCGAATGGCTTTATGAGCCCACCCCGATACGGCGACAATAGTCCTGTTTACAATATGGGTACACTGAGCGCTGCTTTGCCTCAGCCCAGGGCAATGAAGCCACAACTGTCGCTTCTGACGGATGTTGGAAGGAAGTATCCTGGATTCCCCACGCCCTTGTCCCCTACCCTGCCGGCAAAAGAGGCTTACCCTTCGCCTGCATCTGACGCTGGAAATAGAGCTGTGACACCTCGCGCTATGAGCCCTGCAGTGCGTACGGTGAGCCCGATGAGCATCGACGGCTCAGCCACGTGCTGGCCTTCTCTTCGTTGCGAGCCTCATGGACATGATCAGCATGCGTCACAGATGGGTCTCATCGACAATGTTCTCCTAGGTCCTCAGCAGATGCGTAACAGATGCCGCACTCCATCAGCATCCTCGCAAGTAATTACCGGTCTCGCGAGTCCTCCTGCCAGTCCATCACGATGTGTATCTCCGCGTACGACCATGCTGAAGAAGTTCGCCGGAAAGCAAGGTTACCAAGACCTATCGCCAAAGTCCATGCAGGATCTAAGGCTTGAACTCGAAGTCCATCGCAGCGCTCGCAACCACAATGCATACCCAGCATCTCCTCCTTCATCTATTCGCTCTTTCTCGTCAGCTTCCCACCGTCAGCCGGCATCGCCTTCTTTTGCTATTGCCAACGGCGTGGAGTCGGAGGCAACGTCGCCCATTGATCCCTCCGGTACCATGCTCTTCTACACATCTAATCGCAGCGTCGATTCAGGTCTGCTCGGCGTCTGCCCGCTTTCTGAACCCCAGGTCGCTGAGTACAGATTCTGGCGTCCTTGCGGCCGGCGCATCTGTGGGTTTGGATGCGGAGGCGCGAATATAGGCGAGGCGGCAGCTGCAAAGCGGCTATTCCGACAAGCCGAGGAGGTCATCCCTGAGATGGAGGACGAGGTTGGTAATGACGATGCAGGAATGACGCAGAGTGAAGAGCACGAGTATGGTCTCGATGGCCAGGCCGATAACAGTACGAGCGATGCAGGTCATGCCAATGGAGACGGCAAGTTCAGCACGAGCACTTGGGCAGGTCGTCGACTGGTGATGGACTGGAACCAGTTCTTGTCAGGCTGCGAGAGGGATGGCATCGCGCAATTCTGATTGAGTGCAGATGCGGTGAGGGGTATTGCTACGTCTCTATGACTTGGCGGCATTGCGACGGAGGTACTCGGGGGTACTCTGCGGTACTATGGGGCTCAATACAAGATCGTGATCGGGGGCCTTTTGTCTTTTGAGTTTATCTATAACACTCGTTCATTACTTGATTGTCCAACATGGAGTAGTGCTGTTCATCGTCGCGGTTGTGCCTTGTCGGGCACATGATGCCGCGTTCAGCTGCCCAAAGACGTAGGCGTGGCTACATGTGGCGTCGAGATGTCGTAGGGCATAGTTCGCAACACTAAACTGGCGTCTGGATGTCAAAAATCTATTACGGGGCAAGTGACGTGCCTTGAAATCCGAGTCGAGCTAGGCTAGATGACCCAATCGGCGATGATGACCAGCTAATCACCCGGCGTGTGCAGCCAGCGCTGCAGAGATCAAAAACCAGTATGATCTGCCGGCCTAGACCGCGTAGACTCTCGTACTCATATGTCCTGTTCCTCGCCCCCAGCCCTGGATGCCCGTGAGAATTTCGCCGTCCCGGGTCTCAGGTCGCCTCTTGACAGGCACGCGCTCGTGGGGTGTGGTATGACGTCACGCGGATCTTCCTTCTCTCAGCACGCTTCTTCCTACCACCTGCTTTCGCTTTGAGACACGCCGAGCGCGTTCGCCTGCATCTGCGCCATGGAGAACCTTGACAAGTTGTCTGCGACGGGCCTGCCAGTGTTTGATCTCAATGCGGAGAACCTGTGGCGCAAGGACTGGTGAGAAGACGACCAAGATGCATGCGCTCCTGCTGGGCCCGTACTGACAGCCGCCCAGGACTAAAACAACCATCGGCTCGCGCGAGTCGTGGCCTGTTGCATTAACATGTCTCGTCCACACGTGCGTGCTGCCCATGCCCCACTGCAGCGCCATTTTCTGGGGCCAGGACCTGATAGTTATACACAACCTCGCCTGGGAGAAGGCACGGGGTGGTCTTGATGGCCAGGCCACCCTCGCGCGCGAAAGCTACGGCCATGAGGCGCTCGGCACGCTACGAACGGTGCTGAGAGGGCGAACGGTCAAGGTGGGTAAGCATCAGCTACGACCATGTTTCCCGCATCTAGCCAACTGACCCTTCCAGCCGCCAGGTATTTCCTCAAGGACTTCGCCGAAGACCATGAAACGCAGCTTCTCCTCAGTACTATCTTAGACGAGAGCGGCACACGACAGGGCGTATTAGCCCAGCTGCTCGAGAACCGGCCTGTAGACCGCTACATGCCCATCGAGGGTATCGATGAATTTTCGCGACAAAATCCAGGGAGACGAGTCAAGGACAATGAGTCTCAGCAGAAAGGCAAACACAACAGCAAAACCGAGCAGGCAGATTCTATGCAGACCAATATGTTCCAGCGCTTCGCCGAGCTGCTGCCCAATGGCCTGGCCATTCTCGACAAGGACGCCGAAGCCATCTTCGTGAACGACGGCTTCTTCAAGCTGACCACGAACAAGGGCAACAACGAGTTTCGATCGTGGCCGGAGAGCATTCACCCCGACGACTACGAAGACGTCATGGCTGCATATCGCAAGGCATTCGAAAGCCGCACAGAGCTGCAGATAGAGTTTAGATGCGATGTCGCTGAGCCTGAGGAAATGAAGTCCAAGGGAGAGCAGTGGAGACTTTTCTTGCTCAAGCCTCTGAGTGAGGAAGCTGATGCCGGTTTTATTAGCGCCGTTATCGACATCACCGATATCAAACATGCCCAATTAACCCAAGAGAAAGCTGCCAATGATGCCAAAGAGCGAAAGGAGCAACAGGAGAGGTTCATTGACATGGTTTCCCATGAGATTCGGAATCCTCTTTCTGCCGTCCTGCATTTAGCTGAAGAAGTGAGAGAGATTACCAAAGAAATTGGGGCGCAACACGAAGACATTCACGACCAGGTGGCCGATATCTTGGACGCTGCCGACACTATACTGCTTTGCGTCTCACATCAGAACACTCTTGTAGACGACATTCTATCTTTCTCCAAGCTCGACTCTATGATGTTGTCTTTAGTACCCCGACGTGAGTTTCCCCACAACCACACCGTATGACCATTTTACTAAAAGACTATAGCAACAAGACCTAAATGGGAGTTCTCCCAAGCACTCCGAGTGTTTCATTCCGAGTTCAAAGCCAAGAACATCAAGTTCCACTATGCCATGGACGTGTCATATGAGGAACAGAAAGTGGACCATGTTGTCGCCGATCTGAACCGCATGAAGCAAGGTAAATAACTTGTGCTATTTTTCCAAGACACGCTGACGTCTTTAGTACTGGTCAACTTGATAACCAACGCTATCAAGTTTACTTCCAAGAAGAATGGCGACAGAAACATCACTGTATCTATGGGTGCATCCACCAAGCGACCTACGTCTTACCCCCCAAACGTCATCTATTTCAGTGAAGAGAAAGAGGCTTTCCACCTTGATTCCACAATGACATCGGAATGGGGCGCCGGGGCTGCCATGTACTTGATGGTAGCCGTCAAAGATACTGGTATAGGCATTAGCAAAGATGGCCAGGCCAAACTGTTCGAACGATTCAGGTACGTCGTCTCTCAAACACATCAAAAGTACCAAGCTCACCATACAACAGACAAGCGACACCCAAGACACAGGAGAGATATGGCGGCTCAGGTCTTGGTCTGTTCATATCACGCAAATGTGAGTTAATGCCCCTGCTTCATACGTCATTAGCTAATCTATGCCCAGTGTGCACACTGCACGGTGGAGACATTGGTGTGAGTTCGAAAGAAGGAGAAGGTTCAACATTCGGGTTCTTCTTCAAAGTGCGTCGCGCGGTCGGCGAGAATGGTGAGGGGCGGCCGACACAATCTCGAAGCAACTCGGAAACCTCAAACTCTTCCTCTCGACCAGGAGAGTCCGGATCGCGGCCGTCTCGTCCACCTATTAGTCGTGCAAACTCGAATCTCTCAAGCATCAAAGAACGGAAGAATGAGCGTCCTGAAGCGAAGACGCTCGCAAGTCATGGCGGTGTGGATACTGAGGATGTCGATCCTTCACTCAAGCATCCACCAGTAGAGAATCATCCAGAGTCGCATCCGGACTCGAACGAGGATTCGCGCTACAAAGAGACGGAGAAGGCCACCGAGGATATCAGAACACAAAAGCCACATATGGAAAGGAAACTACCCGACCTAAGGAGAGGTGAGACGTCACGCCAGGAGGACGATGCTAAAGAGATTACGAGATCCCAGAGCGACCAGCGCAACGAAGACACACATACCCTTCTCCTCGTGGAAGACAACCTCATCAACCAGAAAGTGCTGCGGCGGCAGCTCCAATCCCGTGGTTTCCAAGTGTTTACTGCGAACAACGGACAAGAAGCCATCGACGCAGTCGCCGAGCGCGGACAATTGGCGGACAACGGCCCCAATGATCGCAATTACTTCGACTGCATACTCATGGACCAGGAAATGCCAATAAAAGATGGCAATGCGGCGACGCAAGAGATCAGACAACTACAGGATGAGGGCAAGGCTGGGTATAGCCACATTCTCGGTGTCTCTGCAAACGTACGGGAAGCGCAGACTAACAGCATGCGTGATGCCGGTATGGACGACGTCATTTCCAAGCCATTCAAGGTCGATGATCTGGTCAAGAAAGTGCGTGGGTTGGTGCTCAACGGCGGTGGTGGTTCAAAGCATGACAACCGGCCGAATGGTAGCTCAGATACTGGGCAGGAAGACAAGAGCAAGAATCAGAGAAAGAAGAGTGGGAATCAGGAAGATGAGGGCGCCAGCCAGCAAGAGAAGGGTGGTCTTCATCCACAAGCTGCCGAACGACGAGATAAGGATGGGCACTCGAATAACGAAAGAGAGAACCTGGATCGAGGTGGCGAAAGGTCAAGATCGCGCTCCAATAGAACCGAAGGATCTCCGAAGAACGAGCCAAAGTCGCACGCCCATGTAACCGAGGGATCCGCGACGAACCAGCAACAGTCAAAATGAGTACTGTAGCGTCCCGGCGTGCCTGGAGTACGTGTACACTCGCATTTGAATTGCATGGTATTGTTCTCTGCGAAATTCGGGGCCCAGGATTGCATTGTACGGTGTTTTGAATTCGACGATCTGGACTGAAAGTTGGAATGATTGGATGAGAAATGAATATACGAGGTTGAATCACATTTATAGAAGGGATTGAGCGTTCCGGGGGATGGCGGATGGGGGGGACAAGGGGAGGTGGTGGAGGCTTTTGCTGTAGCTGCCTCGCCTCTGGTCCGCTTTCTTCGAGGTCATGCTAAAGGCTATGAGGGCTGATTCTTGTGCATTTATAAGGGACTGAGCGTTCTAGTTTTCTATAGTAGTATCTTCCAAATTTGAATTGCTACACCATTGTCGGGGGAGGTGCACCACTAGTCATGCCCAGTATGAAGGTCTTCTCCGCGCATGAAGCAAAATTTACTCGCGAGAAGAATCTTCATATTCGAGCACGAAACCCAGGGGAAGCCTGGAAGTCGTGCATGAGGTGGAGTCTCCGATAATGCAAGAACCCGTTGGTGCGCGAGTCATGCCTATGACATCCCACTTCCAGATGTTACCCCACCCTTTGACCAAACAAACATCACGACCGAAGTCATCATCATGCATGCTAGACTTGTTTACATGCGCGGCTGTGATCTACTACTTACTCTCCGGCCGCCTTGACATCCTAGCTAACCTTCCACACTCCTACCTACCTAGGTAATATGACGAAAGAATTCCAACACAAGGTCGTCCTGATCACAGGCGCAGCAAGTGGTATCGGGTACGTCTCCATCTCACATCTTATCGACCTACCCTATTCACCCCAGTAAACCCATCATGCTAACCCTCCCCCAGCCGCGCAACAGCCCTCAAACTCTCCTCCCTCGGCGCCTCACTCGCCCTCTGCGACCTCAACTTCCCCGCTCTCAGCGCCGTAGCCTCCGAATGTAAAACCCCCACCCACCTCCGCAAAGTCGACGTAGGCTC